CTTGATCTTGTAAAGCAAAAAGATGTGTGTTTGTAAGCAACAAATCCATCATTAAGGCATTTTAACTTCAAACTGTCACTTCTAGCCAAAATGTGAGTCCTCGATCCATAAAAATGCTTCATCCAGTGAAAAGTCCATCCACTGATATATTTATTTAAAACTTTTTTAGGGTGTTTTGTCTTGTAAAAGAGGTTTGGTCTGTGCATACTTCTCTCCTGATTCAGATGATTTGACTTTTACATTGGAGGAAGCAATATTATGATTGGAGGACTCATTTTAATAAATTAAAAGCATCTTAATGATGAATTTGTTTCTTACAAAAACGCAGCTTTTCAGTTCATAAGACATTAATTGATGGACTGGAGTGGTGTGGACTCCTTGATGTTTTTATCAGCTGTTTGGACTCTCATTCTGACGGCACCCATTCACTGCAGAGGATCCATCGGCGAGCAAGTCTGTTCTGATGAAGAAACAAACTCATCTACATCTTGGATGACCTGAGGGTGAGCACACTTTCAGCAAATTTGAATCTTTTGGGTCAACTGTTTCTTTAAGAGAGTAAAAAGAAATACATATATACTCAGTACACAGTGAGACATCACATCACAAAAAACATAGTTAAACTATTTATCGTTACAAATCAGAACCTGAATTATTATCAAAAGTGCTTTGTGGCTTATCAACAAAATAAAGATCTGAATACATATTTTACATCATGTATTTATTGAACAGACAGCTGGGACAAAATACAATAATTAAGGTAATTTAAAAATACATCCCTTATGAATGCCATTTAACAGGCCCCTTTCAAATGAATGTTGAAACACAATCAATTCAGCAAGAAATGTTTGAAAATAGAAGGGCAATAATATCAAGACTCTTTACAATGAAGCAGAATTTAGAAACTTGAATTTCTATATTCTATAATCTAAATTCCTAGAGGAATTCCAACTCCCTCCCTTCAACTGCAGAAGCACAGCAGTGGATAAAGTGGCGAAAATAATGATTATTTAACTGAAATTTCTATACCCAAACATGCACACAAACACACAGTTCTCAGCTTTAATCTGTGCCCTCCGCCCAACCACTTGTCAAATACTTTCTTTGCCCTTAGGTGGACATATTATGCAGCTTCATTCCCAAATAGAAAGAGAGGCTTGGATGAAGATGATCCGAACTGACAACTTTGCTGAGAAGGGTCAACTATTTTTTTTTTTCCTTTTTGCAGGAGAAAGGGAGAAGGGAGATGAAGGAGACGGGAATAACCCACACTGACTCAACCCTCTGAGGTAGAGTAACATTAGCAGGGATGCTCTTTGATTTACAGTGTAAGAAAAAACAAACAGGATCAAGGCAGAATTTTCCGTTTTTAGGGTATTACACTCTTCACAGTTCTATCATGCGATGTGCAAGTTGTACATTTTAGATCAAACCGTTTTAGCAATCTAAGGCACCCAGCAAACAATATCAAACTTGTTTTCATAAACATGACGTGACAAGCACTAAATGATGGGTTACTGATACTGTAATAACTATGTGAAACTAGGACAATAAACATTTAAACATGATCTCCTGACATATTGCTTAGATTAGATTTCCTATGTGATAAAAGTAGTAACAACAAGCACATTTGACATTAAGTTAAATTGAGAAATGATAGGCCCACATGATCTATATCCACATTTTATTCCACTTTGGATTTCCAAATCTTGATTAGGACATGAGTTTAGATTAGAAAACAGTTGTGATGACAGTTCAAGGCCATTAAAGGGAAAGCAGTCACTTTTGATTTGAAGTTGCTCTAAAATTGCAAATCCATACAATGTTATTGATGTTTCCACCTAAAGTAAAGTTTAACTACATTAAATATCCAGTTTCAAAAAATTAGTCATGTTATATTTAGTATTTTGGATTTTAAAAGTGCAGTTTTACGGGAGCCCATTTGTGCCCTTTAATATACACGACTTTATGTATGTAAATATACAAAATTTGCCTTCAAACCTGATGCTAAAAAATATCAATTTTAGTCAACTTTCAGATATCAACACCTTCAGACCAAATGCAGTTATACAAGGTAACAAATTTTGTGTCCTGACAAAAAAAAAAATATATATATATAATAAAGCACTATTGCTGTTCAATTACACTTTGCAATCCATTACTTTTGTAATGTGGTGTATTTCCAAGTTAAAAGCATATGTAATGAGAACATATGCAGGATGGGTTTTTATCTATTGAAATTTGCTTGGATTGTGAAGTTCCGTAGCCAAATGGAGAATACTTGAGATGTAGAGCCTGAAGGTTATGTTCAAACTTGACCCAAAATGAAAATTAGCTGAAAATGTATTCACCCTCAGGCCATCCAATATGTAGACTATCACAAAATCATTACATCACTTGTTCACCAATGGATCCTCTGCAGTGAATGGGTGCCGTCAGAACAAGAGTCCAAACAGCTGATAAAAACATCACAATAATCCACAAGTAATCAACACCACTCCAGTCCATCAAATAATGTCTTGTGAATTGAAAAGCTGTGTCTTTAGGTAAAAAACAAACAAACAAACAAAAAATCTCTCAAGGTGTCTTAATGATGGATTTGTTTTAGAAACACACAGTTTTTAGCTTCTGATGACATTAATCGATGGAATGGAGTGGTGTGGATTACTTGTGGATTATTGTGATGTGTTTATCAGCTGTTTGGACTCTCATTCTGACGGCACCCATTCACTGCAGAGGATCCATTGGTGAGCAAGTGATGTAATGCTACATTTCTCCAAATCTGTTCAGAACCAAACTTATCTTGGATGGCCTCAGGGTGAGTAAATTTTCAGCAAATTTTAATTTTTTCAAATTATTATTTGCTGTTATTGCTGTAACATTTATTAATCACCTCATTAACTATTTCAAAGATTTTATAAAGACATTACCAACAAAATTGGCCTAAAACAATGTTTGAATGGCTGTTGGCTTGGCTTGGTTTTTTAAAAATTATTTAAAAGCTTTTATTTATATACATTTTAATCAAAGATTACAAAAGCAACCATTTCCTTCCTTTGGAATAACATGATTAATTGTGCACTATTAGACCAGGAGTGTATTTTAAGAAAGTAAATAGGGTCTCTTCAGATTTCATGTCGACCTTAAGAGATAATTGTGCACTCATGGCTACAGCCCTGAAGTTAATATTTTTAATCTAAAGTGCAACTGCAAGTACAATATAATCCTATATAATTATATAATTATTCAGACAAAAATTGTGATGGATTAAAATAATAGTGGATATAAATACAGAAAAGGGGAACACGTGGATAGATGAACAATACAATTCATTGTGAATGTGAGTTTGAGTGTTGAAGAAAACGAAAAGTGAATAGGCCTTAGTCAGGTGAGACACCATATTGAATTTTACATGGATGAAATCAAGGCTGTACAGGCATATACTTACAGCCTTTACAACAGCACAAACTTTATAAAGGTCCTCGATATGTGGAGCTTTTCACAACTCACAACTTTTGTGATTGAGTTTCTGTTAGCTGAAAGTTTTTTCCAAAAATACTCTCTTTTCATCAGCGACCAATCGGCATGTTGTTCAACAGCATTACAATCCATTGAGCGCACTGTACTTCTATCCCTCACAGCCTTGTTTTCATAGATTGCTGAAGGGATGACATATTTTTGTAGGCCAAAACCTGTAAATTAAGTTTTTAGCACTTCCTGTTCCATGGTTCTGAAGACAATATGTTTTTTTTAAACTGGTTTTTGGTTAAATGTCTGAAATATTGTCTGTGGTTAACGCAAGCTCAAGATATTTTCACATTTTATTCTAAGACAAGCTACACCAGTAATACTCTCATATTATTTTTTTTAAATTTGCTTTAAAAAGCCGCTTGCTAACAAGTGGTAAATGGGACTGCAGAAGATACTGATTCACAACACGTTGTGTTTATAATCGCACTCTTGAAAACTATTTCGTATGGAGCCCCGCACATGACAATGCAAGAAAAAATAAATAAATCGTGCGCATGATTTACTAATTTGTTCCCTCGATGTACTAAAACGTGTGCACGATTTTGCAAATCGAGGGAACAAATTAGTAAATCGAGGGAACGAAATAGTAAATTGTGCGCACAATTTGTAAATCGAGGGAACGAATTAGTAAATCGTGTGCACAATTTGTAAACCGAGGGAACGAAATAGTAAATCGTGTGCACAATCTGTAAACCGAGGGAACGAAATAGTAAATCGTGTGCACAATCTGTAAACCGAGGGAACGAAATAGTAAATCGTGTGCACAATTTGTAAATCGAGGGAACGAAATAGTAAATCGTGTGCACAATTTGTAAACCGAGGGAACGAAATAGTAAATCGTGTGCACAATCTGTAAACCGAGGGAACGAAATAGTAAATCGTGTGCACAATCTGTAAACCGAGGGAACGAAATAGTAAATCGTGTGCACAATTTGTAAACCGAGGGAACGAAATAGTAAATCGTGTGCACAATTTGTAAACCGAGGGAACGAAATAGTAAATTGTGCGCACAATTTGTAAATCGAGGGAACGAAATAGTAAATCGTGCACACAAACTCCATAATTTCGATTCAAACTTTTAAGGAAATTTTTTTTCAAATAAAGAAATCGGACACTTGTTGGTGGTGACGTTAAGTATTTAGTTAATTTGTAGCCTACATTTAGCTTTTTACTTCTGGTTATGGTATTTAGGCCTCAAAATTCATATAAGTTGTATAATTTGTGAAGATTATCATGATGTCGAGGGAACCAGCTAAGCTTCAGTTTGGCCTACAAAAAATACGTCATCACAGTAGCACTCTATTCCTATCAGAAATTAAATCTGGCTCTTCCCTGACTAAGGTCTATACTAATCATTAGCAAAGTTCTCATATAACATAATTGTTTTTTTATATTTTATTTGTTTAATTACTATGATAACTCCTGCAAAGATAATAAAGTATTCACTGTAGAAACGGTTGCATCACAATAACTATCTATTCAAATCAAAACCAGAAGAGCCTGACACTTTGGGACTTGTTGGTTTTGAAAGACCTGCATTTGTTTCTATTTACTCTTGAGTTCAGTGAAGAGCTAGCAGTTTGAGTTTTGTCTTTTCTCGAAATCCTCAAAGTGTACCTCAAATAATACAGGCTTTACCCTGTTTTTATTGCACGCTGCTATGTCTCCGGTCCTCAAGCAGCACCTGCTGACAGGCTGCCCTGCCCCATCTATCACTACATTACATATATTCGGCTGACAGAAGATCTGAGCAGCTTAGAAGCAGCGTTTTTTCAACCCCAAGTATAACAGTGGTTGGTTCCGTAAGGCGAAAGAGATTCACATGCAATACATCCTCCAGCCCTCTAGATGGAGCTGCGCCGTTTGGAGAGTCTTCGGTAATGTGCTGGGCTGAGCAGGCCTGTGTACCCCGAACTGGTGGCCGAGTGCTCCTGCAAGGCACTGCACACGCAGCCGTTGGAGTGGAGGGCGTCGGAGGTCTCGCTGTGCTCCATGTAGGTGTCTGAAGTGGACAGATCGTGGGAGATAATCATGGGAATCGAGTAGCGCATCTTCTCCTGGCTTTTGTACCAGAGACAAGAGCACATGGACTGGAAATGCAGCACTTCGGCGTAGACGTTACACAACCCTTTCCCAGACTCTCCTCCGTGGCCCGCAGTGGATGAAGACGGTGGGTCGGACATGCAGTGGTTGGTTCCGGCAACGCCAGTCCGCCTGTTTCGGGACAGCAGCGTACGCTGTTCGGCATCACGTCGTTCGTCCTCAGCGTTCATGGTCATGAAACGCAGAACCACCAGGTTCAGGAAGGCGCCGATGACCGTGAGTCCCGTGAGGATGTACATGAAGCTAAACGCGACGTACTGGGGGTTGGTTTGTAGCGCATTATCCTTCTGCAGGGCTACATAGTCCCCAAAACCAATAGTGGTGAGGGTTATGAAGCAGTAATAGTACGCATGGAAGAAGCTCCAGTCCTCATAGCGGGAGAAAGCCGCTGCTCCCACGCACAAGGTGCTCATGCAGGATATTAAGCCAATGCACACCATGTTGGCCATTGAGACCTCTGTGTTCCGAAGGCCAAGACACTTTTTGAGACGGTGCAACAGGTACTTGACGAAGGTGTTGATGCGTTCACCCAGACTCTGGAACATCACCAGGGTGAGGGGGATCCCCAGGAGAGCGTAGAACATGCAGAACACCTTCCCACCATCCGTGCTGGGGGCCGCATGACCATATCCTAGAAAATATAATGGATGTAACTCATTATTTTTAGGGTTGTCAATAATCAATCTCATAATTTGTAGAGATGCACCAGTCAACCAGCATAATCGGCAAACGTTTTATTTTGCCTGATATCTATTCTGGAGCTGTACACAAACTGCACTGCAACAATATATTTTGTGTGGAAATATTACAAAGTCTGTATACAGGACATTAAAGGGAAGATCAGATGCAAAATTCACTTTTACATGGTGTTCGAACATAAATGTGTGTTGGCAGTGTGTGTACACAACCACCCTATAATGACAAAAGTCCACCCAGTGCTTTTTTTAAATCCCCAAAAAATCATTAGCACTTTCTCAGATTCTGGCCAGATGTACATCACACAGGCAGGCCCCTCCCACGATTGTTGACAGACACTACCGTTTCAGCATAGACCCGCCCTGAGTGAGCTGTCATCAGTCCGCCATTGTTTCGCTGCTAGAGCACGTACAGACAAGAATGTCTCCTAAGTGATTGAGGTGTTTTGTTGTTGGATGTAATAATGAACATAGCAGTCGTCATTTACTCCCGACATCTGAGCCGCTGAAGACGCAGTGGATTGTTTTGTTTTTTTTGAAGGGAATGCGCGAGAAAATAACTCGTTATGTCGAGATCAAGAGAAAATTAAGTCGTTATAATGAGAAAATAACTCGTTATGTCGAAATCACGAGAAAATTAAGTCGTTATAACGAGAAAACAACTCTCGTTATGTCGAGATAACGAGAAAACATGAAGGAAAAAATATATATTGCATGGCCGCTTAGAACTTTCGTAGAAAACACTTTAATGGCTAATTTTGGTCCCTTTAGAGTAGACATTCTGTTGACTATAAGTAACTTTGCAACTACACAACAACTTACTCTCATTATTAGTAGAGTATTAGTAGATTGCTAGGTTATAGTTAGGGTTAGGATTAGTAGAATAAGTTGAAATGTACCTGCAAAGTTACTTATAGTCAGTAGAATGTCCTTTGGGGGAATTTATACAATACAGATTGTTTCAAAGCAGCTTCAGAGTAATAGAAAATAACACAAGTGTTAATGTTGCAGAATCAATCAATTATAAAACAACTTCAATTTTAGCTGTACTAACGAAGATCATAGTGCCATTATTTAGCTTAATTTAATATTGATTCAGTTCAGTAACAGTGTCAGTGTTGCAAAGTTCATCAAAATGATCAATCACAGCACACCTTGTTTTTCAGACCGATGAGCTTTGTAAAAATCGACGCGTTTCAGAAAGGCGGGGCATAGAGGAGAAACAATAATGTACAGTATGTGGAAAATAATGTGTTTTTTTAACCTTAAACCGCTTAAACACATTTAATTACACCAAATACACAAAATAGTGTTCTTTTTAGCAACATCATATGACCCCTTTAACAGAAACAAAAATCTTTTTTTTTTTTTAAAGGAATAGTTTACCCAAAAAAATGTCCACCCATTATTGTCTTGTGAAGTGAAAATCTGTATGTTTGTAAGAAACAAATCCATCATTAAGGGTTTTCAACTGTTGTTTATGGCTAAAAACAGGTCCATAATTCATAATAACGCTTCCTCAAGTGAAAAAATCCATCCCTTGTTGTCCTCTCACATCAAAACCCACTGACATATTTGTTTAGAACTGTTTTCACTGGTAAACAGTGCTTGATCTGTGCATATATCGCTCCTGATTCAGACAAGATGAATTTTCACTAGAAAAAGCAATATTATGAATAAAGTTAAGTTAAAAACGTCTTATTGATTTATTTGTTTATTACAAACACACTGCTTTTGACATTATTTGATGGACTGGAGTGGTGTGGGTTATTACTTGTAGATTATTGTGATGTTTTTATCAGCTGTTCGGACTCTCATTCTGACGGCACCCATTCACTCTCATGGTGAGCAAGTGATGTAATGCAAAATCTTTCCGAATCTGTTCAGATAAGACACAAACTCATCTACATCTCGGATGACCTGAGGGTGAGCACGTTTTTGGCAAATCTTCATTTTTGTGTGAACTATTTCTTTAAAGGATGTGTGTAAACTTCTCTATAGGAATCCAGTATTCAAATTCAAAATCTTGTTTGCTAAAATATGAACGTTTGGGATGATTTGGCACTGTAAGTACAACAATATCCCTACCATCCCTGCACCTGTTAAAATTCTTGATTATCTGCTTGATCATCTGTAATTGTTTTTGCATTGCACTTTGATGGAGTCCAGTTGCTCTTATTATAGAAGCAGCATGAATTATTTCTTTGAAAGCGGCTCAGTCGAGCCAGCTGTACGTACAGGCTGCTGTTTAAAGCTCATTCTCATGTCTCTGCTTCTCTCCAACCCATTCAGCTTACATCTCCTAAAATAACTCCTTTTTTTCTGAATTATTATCATCAAATGTGCTGCAGTCACTGCAAATCCATTCAGTAGTTGAACACATATTATAAAGGGGTTGGGGATTAAATACTTAGAGAAGGTGTGAGAGTGTTGGGGGAAGGGATGGTGCCAAATTAAGGATTAAAGATGTTTGCCATTGGTTAAATTACAATATAAACCATATTAAGGGACAAGCATAAGGGGTGGTAATAATAAATATAATGGACAAAATGTTATATATTTGTTCCTAAGTGTGTCTGCTGTTTGCATGTGTTTGTTAAATGCAGATCTGGGATGCATCCACCTTTATTAGAATTACATCACTGTCAGCTCACCAGTCCTATGTCGAGGATTAATGAAATGATTAATAATCAGATTATCCTATGGCACATAGAAAACCCTCCAAAGACGTTTTGGAATATATGAAGAAAGAAAAACCCATTTCTATACATGATTATTTATATTTGTGCGTGTACACGTGCGGAGCCGTTATGTTTAGTAGGCTATATGTAACTGTAGCAGTGTTTAGGGTCAGATGTCCTGCTGCTGTCACTTTTAATCTTTCACATCTTCTTGAAAATCGAGATGGCAAACCAGTGCTGCAGAGTCGTGTGATTATATAATGCTGTTTGGTTTTCTCTTTTACGTAAGACAGCATTACTTGATAATAAATGTCAGATTCCCTTCTTTGATATAGTATTACTACATTTTAATTTTTGTTTTAAATAATTGCTATAATTTTTTAGATTCATTTGCATAAATACATGTCTCTTATGTTAACCAAGTCTGCATTTATTTTTATTGATAACAAAAACAGTAATATTGTGAAATATTATTACCATTTAAAATATGTTTTCTATTTTAATATATTTTGTAATGTAATCTGTTCATGTGATGCAAAGCTGAATTTTCAGCATCATTACTCCCAGTCTTCAGTGTCACATGATCCTTCAGAAATCATTCTAATATGCTGAATGCTGAACAAAAAACATATGTTGAAAAAGTTTTTTTTTAGGATTCTTTGATGAATTGAAAGTTCACAAGAATGGCATTTACTTGAGAAAATTGTTATAGCAATTTATAACAATGTAAAAGTCTACTGTCATCTTTGATCAGGTTAATGCTAAATAATTTTCAAAAAAGAAAAAAGAAATCTTTTGAAAGGTAGTGTACATTTATTTTGCTTCATATTTCATGTCTTCCAACTTGTCCAATTCATGTCCTTTTCCAAATGTCCTACACTGAAAAATAAAATTGTATAAAAAAAAAAAAATCACTCAGAAATGGTTAAATTCCTCAAACAATTACAAAGAAATGGCCGGTAACACACTGAATTAAATGTGAAAATTTGAAGTAGATAAACTGAAACTAAAATTTTATTTCTTGTAAAACAAACCCCAGTAAACATTTTTTATGTTTATTTTTATGTTAACTTTGAACAATAATTTTAATAATGTATACTTTATTTTATTCTGACTGAAACATGTTGACATGAATAATATAATACAATATAATATAATATAATATAATATAATAATACTCTCAGGAAAAAAAGGTACACAGCTGTCACTAGAACAGTACCATTTAAAAAGGTACACATTTGTATCTTATTGACCCCTAAAGGGTGCATAGAAGTACCTTAAAGGTACATTTTAGTACCCAAAGTTTAGATATTAATGATACTTATTTGTACCTTTCAAAAAGGTACCACCCCAGTTTTTCAACCTTTTTTTTCTGAGAGCATCAAGTCAAGTCAGGTTTATTTATATAGCACGTTATACAATACAGATTGTTTCAAAGCAGCTTTACAGTGAGCTTTACAGAGTGTAATATAACTGTATTCATGGTTATGGGGCGATATAAGATCATAGCTTTGTTTGGATGCAGAAATGGGTCTTTCATGATGACTGATGGTGACTGTCCTTGCAAAGCACCAGTGATGCCGTCACTAAAGGGCAACCTGCCATGTGTCACAATGGATGAAAATGTATCCACATATACAGTATACGTAAGCATAATTGCACTGCAGAAAGTCATGCCAACAACAACCCAAGGCCATGTGCTTAAACACATCTTTCTCAGATATCAATTATCTCATTCAAACAAGCAACAAGTCCCTTTTAAATCGCAATGGATATCAATTAGCATTTTTTTATAATTAATATAGTAGTATGTAATATAATTAGTATAGTATAGTATGTAGTATTAATATTGTTTTTAATTGATTTTGTGTGTAGGCCTACAGTATTCAAATATTGTGCATTCTGTGAGCTCTGTGGGACAACGGCATAATACAAACAATGTTGGATGAAAATATTGATGGATTTGACTGTAGGTAAAACTAAATTAGTTGTAAAATTTTTATCTTGCCGTTTAAACACCGGATTTTGTGCATAATATCAGGAAATATGGATTTTTCTGTTAGTTTTAGGGCAGGATATGCAGTGCATTGCATGCTGTAATCTCTGTATAACTTCCTTTAGAAGTGTATCTTTGCACCATGGGTGTCATAAAATGGTCTATGCAGCTGGCTGGTGTACTGTAAATATGCTTTGGGTAAAGTGGCATATAAAAAAAAAAAAAATCAAATGCTGCAAATACAAGGCCTTAACAGCAC